CCGGATGGTTGGTAGCCCCTGATAGAACAGAAGCTCTAGCATCAGGAAGAAGGGCTAGGGTCCAGACTGTGCTCTGTCACTTAACTGCCTGGGTGGCTTTAGGTGTGTCATTTAACTCTGAGTTGCAGTATGGAAATGGAGTTGGTCATTAGTACCTGGCCTCTCTATTTTTTTTTTTAAGATTTTATTTATTTATTTCAGAGAAAGAGTGAGAGAGAGAGAGCACATGAGAGGGGGGAGGGTCAGAGGGAGAAGCAAACTCCCTGCTGAGCAGGGAGCCCGGTGCGGGACTCTATCCCAGGACTCCAGGATCATGACCTGAGCCGAAGGCAGTCGCTTAACCAACTGAGCCACCCAGGCGCCCTGGCCTTTCTGTTTAGTGAAGACTTGTGAAATTCATCTGTTTTTGTTTTTGGTCAAAAAGGGCCACATGTCATTACTATGTGTTTACCTCATACTTAATAGCACAGTTAGTGGGACAGAGGAGATTGTGTCTATGAAAATACTTGGTAAACAGTAGAGAACTTATAAATACAAACCATTATTATTATTATTATAAAATGACACTTTATTTTCAATAGCTAAGTGGACACAGGCCTGGAGTGACCAAAGACCTTACTCAATGGGGAACCCCTCTTGTTTTGTAATTTTTTTTTTAAACTTCCAAGAAAATTGCTACTCTTAAATTTTCTCATGTAAAATTTTTTCCTGCCCAATATCAATGGTCATTCTGACGTCTGCCATGTAATTGGAGAACAAACCAACAAAGCCAAAGATTTTTGACATCTGGTTTCCCCTTAAAACAAGAACACATTTCTAAAATTGCATTTTAGATATGTATCACAATGGAAATAAATAAATACCCTCATGAAAAGACGGAAGCCAGAAGTAAACTGCAGAGCTGATGCTACTTGGGTCACTGGGAAATGTTTTGGGGAAGTAGGAAGGAGACCCCTGCTTGCTTGAGACCTTAATAACCTCGTGCCACCCAGAACTACGTGGGTAATTAGTTGAGGGAGAAATGTCACCGTACGGCTTTAGCGCCATACACACCTCAGCAACGTGCAGAATCAGAGACAGAGCTCTGTCCCTTAAGAGAAAAAGCAAGGAGCAAGAAATGAAAGCTCCACAGAAAGGGCACAGTCTATCTTCCGGACCACACATGAGCTCAACCAGGGAGAGTGATTTAGAGCGATTGAAACAGGCCCCTTTGGCCAAAGGCAGCTCTGTGAACCGTCTCTGAATTCACAGAACACTCACAGGCTCTCTATAACCAGTACACAGCTTCTAGAAAAGCTGACTGCTTCAAATACCCACATGGATTTTGCAAAAATGACATCCGCAAAAGCTACAAACAGAAGCCCAAGGCCCCCAGCGAGTAGCGCTGCCAGCCACACTGTAATGAGAACACGGCGGATGTCCCCAAGGTCTCCCTGGGGAAGAGAGAACTGACCATACTCGCATGGCTCGAGTCTGCTCTTTGAATTATATTTATTTGACTCGGTACTGATGTGTTAATTCGCAAATAATGTCTTTGTTCCCTTTGTAACATTGAAAATTGTCATCGCCTTTAGGAAAAGAAATTTTTCTAAGCTCTGATGGAGCAGCAAACTGTTTTTATACACATGTAACATTTAACTAACTTTGGGAGTTAACACTGCAGCCAAAACCCTTCCCAAACATGGAAAATGAGGTCTAGAGCCAGGCCAATTAGTCAGTGAGTGGAGACACCTGCTCCTCCTGCCTGCCCCTCGTTTGCCTGGGGCGGCACCCTGGGAAAGTCTCCGCCACTGGCCCTGGCGAGGACTGGCCAGGGAGGGAAGCGGCCAACGGCGGTCACCCCACACCCTGCCGTGTGCAGGCACACACACCTAGCCCCGCTGTGCGATGGCGAACTAGCCACATTACTGGGGGCGTCCTAAGAGGCAGAGAAGGAGTCCCTCCTGGACAGAGGCAATAGTACAAGTCCGGGGGAGTCTCAGATTCTGGAAGCTAATCAGTGGCAAGTTTGAACAGGAAGCAGAATGAGAACTCATCATGGATGTCGGCCCTAACGGAAATCCAGGGACCCGAGGTGCTCCCTAAATCAAAGGATCGAAACTTTGAAAGTTTCTCAGGCCTCCCTAAGATTCCCAGAAGACCAGTCACATGATGATGGTGATGATGATAGCAGCTAACATTTATTAAGTGCTTATGAAGGCATTGTTTTAAGAGCTTTGCATGAGCTACAAACTCACAACCCTATGAAGTGTGAGTCCTAGGATTTCTTCTAGTGTCCATTAGAAAACCGAGGATTGGATCACTGTCCAGGGTCAATGAAACCAGGCCAGCTGGCTCCGGAGCCTGCCAGTGTTGGATGGCCTTTCAAACACTCCCTGAAGGGTCCCCTCTGTTTGGATACTTCCAAAGCAGATGACTCTGCATCACCAGCCCGCTCTGGTCAGTGACTTCATCTGTATGAATGTGTACCGGCGCACACACCCTCTTTATCAGCAATTGCATTTCCAGGAATTTAATACACAAATGTCCGTGCAGACAGTTATTTATTGGTGTGTGGTTGAGGTTTATATAAGAAATAACGCAAATTTCCATCAAGAGATAACTAGTTAAATACATTATGATAGAGCGACCCAGGGCACTAGTCTTAAAAGCTGGCTCCTCCGCTCTGTCCCCCTGCAGCCCTGCAAGCAGGTGGCTTAGCGAGTGGTGGGAACTAGACCATGCCCCTTCCCCCAAGTGGAAGCACCCCACTTGCAGACCACACTGCATGTGGCAGTCCCTCTAGCCCACACTGAGTCATCACCCAACAGCCAAAAAAAAAAAAAAAAAGAGGCACACCTACATCCACACATAGACCATGCCTAGACCGTCTCTGGAAAGACGCAAGAACCTGATGACCATACTCACCTCCAGAGAGGGAACAACCCCCTCCTGGTTGGGGTGATATGCTTCTTACTTTTAAGTCGTTTGGTCATATTTGCACTTTTGCATGTGTGTGTGAACCAAGGATACCTTAAAACAACTAAAATTTAAAATAAATAAGCCAATGATGGGGTGCCTGGGTGGCTCAGTGGGTTAAGCCTCTGCCTTCAGCTCAGGTCATGATCTCAGGGTTCTGGGATCGAGCCCCGCATCGGGCTCCCTACTTAGTGGGGAGCCTGCTTTTCCCTTTCCCTCTGCCTCTCCCCCCAGTTCATGCTCTCTCTCTCTCTCTCCCTCAAAAAAATCAATAAAATCTTTAAAGAAATAAATAAAATAAAAAACCAATGAAAATATCATATTCATTACTGACTAATCACAAACAAAATATTAGAAAAAACAATCTAAGTGTCCAACCATTTGGGGAATGGCTACCTCTTCTGTAAATTATTATAACAGTTATTAAAAGCTGGGGATATAGCAGCCGCATGGCAAAAAGGAAAAATATGTAGATAATAATGAAAAAGCAAAGGACCCCATCATCTGTGCAGTGTGACCACAATCACAATAATATGAAGAGAATTGTCTTCTCTTAGCAGTTGGGAATGGGCATTTCTCCTAAGGGTGGCGGGGCTGGGGGGGTGGGTGGGGGAGCACCTTTATCAGGAAAATAGTTCAATAAGTCCTTTGGGGCAGAAGTTGAGCCCTTAGAGCTTCTCCAGATCCCCAGAGAAAGTGTCAGTAATTTCTACTTTGCTCCCCGATGACATTTCAAAATGAGTGGATTCTTTCCACAAAGACCACATAGGCAGCCAACCCTAATTATCCTACAAAGTACAACAAAAGGGTGGAGAGCTAAAATAAACTATGGGAAATCACTAAGTATTCATATTAGCAAAGGGTTCCCAACATTCTCTTTATTTCCTAATTTGGAGTAATATGATTTTGTTACCTCTATACTTTTAGTGTTTAGATGTCTATAGAAAGAAGCAATGAGAAGCAACTCCATCCCAGCTGTCAAGGTGCAGAAGAGATTAACAGGAAGCTTTAGTAATGAAACCCCCGCCTTTCTCAGATCCTGGCAGGGGCGGGGTGGGGGGGGTGTTTAGGTTCTTCCTGCCCTTCGGGTCAGAAGGGAGTCTGAGCTGCGGGGAGAGGGAGGTGGGGGGAAAGGAGTGAATGCTTTAGAAGCAACAACTGATGTTTTCTCTGTTTTTGAAAACACCTTACCCTAGGAACGCATCTCAGATGGATAACTCATAGGATGCCCTTAGACAAAAGAAGGTTCGGTACAGGGAAAACAAGAGGATTTCCTGACGGTTTGGGGGCTGATATCCCTAAAGAGCACGTTGTATGGTCCCATTTGACGTCTGAGTAGATGGCTAACTGAGAGCTGATAATCATTTAGAAGCCGTATCTTTAATTCTCTTGCCTCTGGTATTCTCGCCAAGCCTTCCTCATCGTTCCTACCTCAGCCCGCAGCAGATTGTGGGGTTTGCAGGTGACAGGTAAGCCCCGAGCCTGCTATGGAGCATACTGTGACTTCCCACATTCCGTAAACTCTCTCAGCCTAAGAATCTCCATCCACAAAATGGGAATGATAACAACACCTGCCCCTCAAAGTTTGAACATTAAAAGAGATAATGGACATGAAAATACTCCTTATCATTTGAAAGCCTGCTGTAACATTATCCAAAGTGAACAAAGTTTATAGTGTCTCAGAAACTACCGAATAATTTCCCCCGAGTAATATAAATGAATAAAAGACACAATTTGGGATATCACATAATTTTATAGTATTCTAATTAAATGCTGTTAATAAACTTACAACTATATATTGCCTTTACATTTTTCTTTTAATTCCATGTGTACTTATAAATAGGATCTAGCGTAAAGGAAAATGGGCTCATTTGACTTCTCTCTCACATTAAGCCTCCTTAAAAAGAAATTTAAAAATTAAATAAATAAAAGTCCTTTGAGGCTCGCTCCTCCACTTCTGTCCGCTCCGCGGCGGGAAGCGCCTTCCCCACAGGACATCAATGCAAGCCTGAATAAGGAAAACAATTTCTTCCTCCTAAGCCATGGCATATCAGTTATACAGAAACACCACTTTGGGAAACAGTCTCCAGGAGAGCCTTGATGAGCTCATACAGTCTCAACAGATCACCCCCCAACTTGCCCTTCAAGTTCTACTTCAGTTTGATAAAGCTATAAATTCAGCATTGGCGCAGAGGGTCAGGAACAGAGTCAATTTCAGGCCTATGTATGTTTCGTTGCCTTCCCTGAAGAGTTACTGAGATTTCAAACACCCAAACCATTACCTGCAGGATTGAAGGGCTCTCTAAATACATACAGATTCTGTGATAACGGGTGGACTTTTGTATTGAATGATGTTGAATTCAGAGAAGTGACAGAACTTATTAAAGTGGATAAAGTGAAAATTGTAGCCTGTGATGGTAAAAATACTGGCTCCAATACTACAGAATGAATTGAAAAAAAAAATGGCTTTTTTAATGCCATCTTCTGTTATTATTCATCACTTTTTTGAAGAGAAGCATAGAAGAGACTTTTTTTTTTTATTTATGCTGGCATCGCAGAAATGACTACACTGTGTTATATATACTATCAGAATTCCAATAGAAAGAAGCTTATAACTCTAGCCTCTTACATTACCTTTTCAGCATGAAGAAACAGAAGTTTTTTTTAATAACAAACATTGTTGTCTTCCTAAGAACATTCTTGAATAAACTCATTTTAAAACCCCCCCCCAAAAAAAAGTCCTTTGAAAGAAAGTGTGTGACATGAAAAAGTGCTCAATATCGCTCGGCATCAGGGAAATCCAAATCAAAACCTCAATGAGATACCACCTCACACCAGTCAGAACGGCTAAAATT